GTTTCTGTTGCTTCACGTCTCTTCTTCATCTTTGTTGCTCAATCACAGGAGGACAGATATTACATCTCTTCTTCATCTTTGTTTCTGTTGCTTCACGTCTCTTCTTCATCTTTGAGGAAATTGTCCAGCATCTACTGCCATATAGGAGGACTGATATTACGTAACATTTCAGTGCTGATCTTTGTTTCCGTTGATTCAAGTCTCTTCTTCAACTTTGAAGAGATTTTCCAGCATCCACTGCCATACAGGAGGACAGATATTATATAACAGTTCAGTATTCTTGCCTTTGTTTCTGTTGCTTTAAGTCTCTTTTTCATCTTTGAGGAGATTGTCCAACACTCAATGCCATACAGGAGGACAGATATGTAAGTTTAGTATCCATTTCCTTGTTTTCCTGTTTTTTAATACTCTGCTTAGCTTTTGGAATGCATCTTTGACTATCTCAATACACCTTCGGATTTCAGTATCTCACTAGCCGTCCTCTACAAAAACACTTCCCAGATATTTAAATTTCCGGATTTCTTTGAGTTTGGTATCTACGATTTTCAATTCGCACCTTTTGCTAACAACAATGCGTTCCGCTTTGTTGCAGTTGATGTTTAATCCTTTTTTCTCGCTTTTCTTCTCTACATTCTATAGGAGTTTTTGTAGCTTCCTTTCTGTGTCTGCTATTAAACTAGATGTAATAGAGAGAGAAATAAGATGAAAGAAATATAAGTAAAAAAAAAAAATTAATAAAAATTGAATAGAAACTGACAACATACAAGAAAGTGTTAACCACTTCTCGGTCCGATCGTAATGGGATTCAGAAATAAAAACTTCTCGGTTTGGTTATTTATTGAAATTTAGGTAAGCAGGTCGAGCCGAAACCCTTCGCCATCGCCGTGGTCACCAAGCCCCTCCATGAATTAGTTAATATTGTGAACCCAGATTCTTGGAATATAAGTCAAACTGTAGTTCTCTAGAAAGATATTGAAGAGAAGTTACCGGACTTTTCGTCGTGAGATCTTTGTTAATGATTTCCGTGACTACATTGATAACGTAACGAGAAATTACCATAAACATGTTTAAGCAAAACTATCCAAAAAGACTAAAAAGGGTTTTCTGTGAAGAACATAATTTATTCTCACAAAAGAAATATCTTAATAAATAAATGTTTTCTATTAAATTATCAAAATGGTTTTATTCTTTTTCATACTATAAAGCGATTTGTTTTCATTCTCAGATAGAAAAGAAAATAAGTAGAACAGATTCTTATAGATTACCTTCCTTTTTAAAATGTTACACAAAATACACACATACAAAAAAATTACATATGCCCATATGCATTTGTCCCACAAAGAAAACTTATAACATGTATGCAACATAATGAAGAAAGAAGGCTTGGGAAATTTAACACTCACCGGACATAATGAAGGCAAAAGAAAAAAACAAAGCGTCGCCTACCTAACAAGCAGTGAACGGCCAGTTGCGTACTGGACATTTGCGGCCCGGAGAATTGCGTACCAGACAATTGCGTCCCTGGATATTTACATCCCTAGATATATACTTCCCTGGATAATTGCATACCTCGGATAATTTTTTGAAGTTACCATTTTTTTTTAAAGTTGTTTAATACAGGAATTTGCACACCAATACACTTAATTATTTTAAACAAGCAGAAATGTACTTAGCATAGATACAAAAAGAGAGAGAGAAATTTATTTTTTAAAGCAAGAGAAAATTAAGCTAGCAATTTCAGTTCACTCCAGCAGTGCGTACCACAAACATCTAATAGATTCTGGATTTTATAGCTTAAATTTTTATTTGGAACCCATGACTAAGCTCCGAAAATCAAAGACTGGTGGGAAAATATTTGTGGTCGAGATAAAATTACAGCTACCATTATCATAAGAAAAACGCCGATGAAACAAAAACATACTGGCGATGTATAGAGCCATCTTGTAACACTTAATCTACTATTACATTTTAAACAAAAATAAACTTTTAATTTTTTTTTATTTTATTGCTTTTTTCAAAATTTATGGTAATTGCCTTTAGAAGCATCAAAAAAATTCAGCGGTACACAATTATCCAGAGAAGATTTTTGTCTAGGGGACAAATGTCCAAGGGAGCAATAGTCCGGGACGCAAATGTCCTAAAACCCTAATAAATGAATTTGACTCGCATAAAATATATATATATATATATATATATATATATATATATATATATATATGGGGGGGGTGAAAAGTGTATATAAATATAAATAAATAAATATAAGTATGTATAATTATTTATATATCATATGCGCGGTACTTATTAGAAAGCGCTCAATATCAGAGATAGAGCTAACATAACTCACATCTATCCAACCAAATATATATATATATATAAAAGAAAAAGACAAATTTTACTAATAGCTACAAAGAACAGGAGAATGTGGAGAGCGATGATCGCCAACGTCTTGGAATATCATGGCACATAGAAGATCTTTGACACAAAGCCACAAGTATAGGGCTTCCAGTGGGAATTAAACTCTCTGTATAAGCAAATGGTATGTGAAACTGGATATGACAAGACGGGCAATTATTGATATATATGAAACTTTTTTATTTGACCTCAGTAGAGTTCATGAGTATTTGGTACGTTTCGGCGTCGCTGATTCGGCGTCAGAAAAAATAATTGGCTTATTCGGCACAACCGTTTAGGCGTCAGACTGTTTCAACATCACTGTCTTTGAACGGAGCCCCCCCCCTCAAGATTAACGCATTGAAAACACCCAACTTTCAATATGACTTTTTATTCATTTACGGAAGGGAGGATCCTATTCAAACACTAACAGAATAATGTAAATTAAAAACTTAGATTAAAAATATTGTTTTTTAAAAAAATTAAAAAAGTTAGTAAAACTATTTAATCTTAGAAATTATTTCTTTATTTCGTAATTATGGGCAACAACCTTCAGAAATTCTATAGGATCTAATGATTCAAATTCCATTATGACTTTTTTGATTCTTTCGTCATCACCATTATCTCTCTCGCTCTCTCTCTCTATCTATCTATCTATCTATCTCCCTCTCTCTCTCTCTCTCTCTCTCTCTATATATATATATATATATATATATATATATATATATATATATATATGTAACCCGGATATAAGAGACCCGGATATAAGAGAAACCTGGATATAAGAGATTTTCTCTGGTCCCAAATTGTTCCTATACTTACCTAAACAAAATAGACCAAACCCGGATATAAGAGAAACCCGAATATAAGAGACTTCTTTTCCGGTCCCGACAACTCTCTTATATCCGGGTTACACTATATATATATATATATATATATATATATATATATATATATATATATATATTAGCTTTTTTGGGGGTGGCTATCCAGCGATCAAGTTTTTCTTAAATATGAAAATGTCTTCAAGTACATTTTTCTTAAATTAGACTATTCGAGCATATAACGACGTAGTACTAATTTGACTACTAAACGAGAGAGGGAGAGAAAGAGCAAATTTGACTATAATGACAAAGTAATAATCTAGCACCTAATCGTCCCTCTGCCGAAAAATTCTTATATCGAATCGGCTACGCCCAGTAGGTCACGCCGAATCAGCGACGCCAAATGGGCTACGCCGGAACGGCCTATTCCCGACATTTTGAAGGCAAGGGAATCATTGTGTGAATGGATGGCTATACATGATGACGGTAAAGGTTAAAAAATATGAAGCTGCATTAAAGAAAATATAATATAAAAATACCACCAACTACTCTTTTTCTTACATTAGACTATTCGAGCATATAACTACGAAGTACTAATTTGACTACTAAACGAGAGAGAGAGAGAGAGAGAGAACAAATGTGACTATAACGACGAAGTAGTAATCCTACGCCGAATCGTATTTCTACCGAAAAATTCCTATGACGAATCGGCCACGCCGAATCGACCACGCGAAATGGGCGGTACGTCCCATTCCCAGTTCATGACACCCACACCTCAGTCAATTGTGAAATCTATAATCTTTTGTATCGCTTTATAGAATATGTCTTGACTGGGTTATATCAGTTATGTGCCAGGTGTGATACACGGCTTAGGCGATCATGTATCTTTCGATACCTTACGGACGAGGCAGATTTTTTACCGCAGTAGGCTGCCATTTATTTCTGCGGTAGACCAGTTACCATCCAAGGCTATAGAAACTGGTCTGTCCCTCTAATTCCCATAGCTGGTCTGTGCGGGGAGAGGATTCATACCTTTCCCAAAAGTATTAGCACGTAAGTGAATGTAATGTATTTGACTGGAATTTGAACTCGGCTCTCCAATTTTTCAATCCATTACTCCACCGTGCCTCCTGGGATATATATATATATATATATATATATATATATATATATATATATATATATATATATAATATATATAGTTTATATATATATATATATATATGTGTTTAGGAGGATAAAACTAGATAATGTGTAAACCTAAGGAGGATACTTTAGATAGTTCAATGTAAATAAATTATTTATTACATGGAACCTTAAAGTGGCCTGTTTTTATTTAAAATTATATATATAGATTTTAAATTCAGAGTTTTCCTTCTACTAGACTGATTGCTAACCACGACTAGAGGGCTTAGTCTTCCCAGCTATTTAACCAATGCAAGAGATAGATTTATATGAAAATGAACCTAAGAAAGTCAGCTGGAATTCGAACTCGTCTCGCCAGTTTCACTTTCAAAACCGCTAACCGTTACGCTACCTGTATATGACACGCAACGAGAGCCGAACTCACTACAGGAGGTTTTTTCTATTAGCTTTATAATAATTGCACCATGGCGAGACGCCAATTATTCACATTTACTATAGTTAATCTGGCACAAGACCATTAGTTTTTGGGCATTCAATGACAATCTACCAATAGGATCAACGGTATACATAATGTTGATCTGCGGCAAGGAGGATTTAGTGTCCCCGGTGAAAGACAAGAAGAGAGAATAGAGGAATATA